CCTGGACAGGTCTCCAGTCTCCATCAGGGACACAAAAGAGACAATCAACCATCCACACTCTGTCACACCTAGAGTCCCACAGAAGAGCTCCAGAAGGTTTCAAACTGAGAACTCTGGACTCAGATCATCTGCTGCACACAGTTCTGATCATTTATTATCAATAATAATTTTATTGATAATTATCATGAGGAGTCCTTAACTAGGATGTAGTTAGGCAATTAAATATTCATGTATGTGTAAACGTATTACCATAATCGCAGGTGAGTCACGTAAATTTATGTTTTTATAAAACAAGTACACCCCCCCCCCCCCCGCAAAGACCAATTTCCTAGGGGAAACTCTGGGATCTATTGGTTTTATAAACATTACCCCAAACCTCTACGCAGTAGGACATATATGGCACTACAAGTGAAAAATAAAGTGTATGTAGACAACTTCTATTCAACAATTCTTTGGTTTTACAGGAACATTTGAAGAAAACGATACTACTATAAAACAAAATTTGAAAAATTTTAAAGAAAATCTAAATAAAATGACAGCACAGTTTTTTAAACAGCTGAACAGGTGACTTCAGTCCTCTGCTGGTTTCCAAGTCTAATATTAAGACCCTGGGTCTAGTCTGTACAGATTCATCACCAGCTGTTGGTGTTTTCCAGTCAGCTTATTACTCAGCTGCATGATCAAGTTGATGTTTGTTGTGGACAGTGGAGACAGGGTGAAACACTGTTGGAGGTCAGGACACTCTTGTTGGTGACTCTGTTGACCTGAGCATGTTCAGTGTTTATGTGAAAATAAATATTACACATTCACATGATAGCAAAAACCTTTCTCTGATGGGTCGTAAAGGCACAAAGTGATGAAGCAAAGCTGTAATCTACAGGTTAAATATGTCRATCAACACATAGTAATGCAGACGCTCTTTACACAGAGGTACACAATAGGGCCGGTAGGCCTCGTCCAACCCAGTGACACTGTGGATTAGGGCTGCACAATATATCAAAAATTCATCGTCATCGCGATAACWGCCTGTGCAATATGCATATCACAACAACTGCATAAACTGCAATAAATGGTTGGCTCAAAAGTTTGCATTTTCGAGTTTTGTCACTCAGATGGATGTTTGAAGTTTGAAGTATTTCACCGATCAAATAGAGCCCTTAATGTATTTGGCCAATTGGATGGATCCCTTCATAAAAAATCATTTTGGAATGAAAAATATATATTTTTAAATGTTTTTTTTTTTGCTCTGAATCCAGAGCAGAAAGACATCAAAACTAATTATGCATTTGGTATTTGTTCATTTATCGCAAATCATATAGTCATCGCAATATTAAGCACCAAAACGTGCTTCAAAACATTCTGACTCCAGCTATTTGCTAATAATTCTGTTAAATATGGACATAATAAAAATATAAACAAGCTACTACCTACTGCTTTTAGTCGTTTATCATTATTGTAAATTTTTTAGCATTAATTATGGTAAAAACATTTAATTTATTTGGATTTAAAGTTTTTTTTTGCACAGATATGACCTACAGCTGATTTTTTAAATGACAGTCTTAATATGACAGATCAGTGTTTGTTTTTATCTTTTTTATTTGTGGGACTCAATCAGATACATATCTGATGTCTTTCAAAGTGACCTCAGTCTGAACAGTCAGGTCTCAATGAGGCTGTGGTAGAACGATCCATCCAGATTTTCATTTGATCAAACCCAACGTCCTGCACCTTAAAGTTCAGGGCTGGTCTTCAGTTACAGAAGTTCAGCTKCTTCATCTTTTAAACTTTCTTCATCGTGTCCTGAAGACTGAGACGCCAACATCTGATGCTAACAGTGGACTTGAGTTTGTTTCTTTCAGAAGAGACCCTCTGCTCCTGAGCAGACAGGAAGCAGGTAGATCAAATGAAAACACTGGACCAAACAATCACAGATAATAATTTAGTGGCTCTGATTGGACAACAGCTTCAGAATGGACCCACACATGCTAACATGCTAACATGTAGCATCCCTATTTCTCCTGTAAACACAGCGTGCTGCGTGACCTCACATCTTCGTCTGCTTCAGGACTGTTGGAGTCTCACAGAGGTCACTTTTAAATCAGAACATTAACAAATAAACATCAGATCTGAGCTTGAAGACCTGCTGTGGCATCAGGCTTCATTATATGACAATTTTACCTCTATAGAAACTAGTTGCTTTGTTGCTGTGAGTGTTTTTTATGTGTGTTTTGTTTGTTTCTGTATTTTCCTTATTCCCCAGTGTTTTCATCATCATCAGTATTTTTTTCTCTGTCAGTCTGGCCTCCTCAGTCTTGCCATACCCACCTGCACCTGTTCGCTATTTAAACACCCGTCTCCTCTTTCCTCCTCAGCCCCAACCCAAACAATCTCTCTGTTTTCATTCGTCTATGTGTTTCCATATCCTGTCTGCTTCTGCTCAGTTTTTCCTCGAAATTGAGTCCTTTTGCTGTTGTGCCAACTTTTTATTTTGTGTTTGTTTTTGAGATCGTTACATATTTTGGTTCTTGAGTTCCTCTTGTTGTTGCCCTGCATTCCTGGGCCTGATCTCTTTACAAATTGTGACTGAATGCCAGACTCCTACAAAGACCCAGCATACTGCCAAAATCTCTTAGACTTGTCTGAAGAGGATTTCTGGAAACTCCGTACTGTATTGTTGGAGATTTGTATTGAGAATTGTATTGCTGTGTTGTATTGTTTGGTGGGCGCCGCCTCAGACTTTTGGGTTGAATTATAGGGATGACTGAGAAATTCAAAGAGGAAGAAGAAAGTGWGTCAGTTTCCACAGGTTTTCTCTTCTGATCCAAATGAGAATAATAATTAATATATATTTAAATAATGAATACTTAACTACTTAACAGAGATAAAGTAGCTGTCCGATGGAAATAACTAATAGCTCTAAATAAAATGTTTTTTTTTTTCATTTATAACTTATTCAAAATAAAACGTGACACCCCAAATCACTGGGTTTTCAGTTCTTGAAAAGTTTAATAACTCTAGAGTATTAATCTTGAGTCATGAGCAAACGTGAAGAAAAAGCTCTGATATGTTGAATCATCAGGACAAATTCAGAGCTGGGTTATAGATATTAAAGAAGGAAAAACTTTTTTTTTTYCAGTTCATTCAACTTTGGCTTCAGTGTGGTGCTCCAACCTCATTCCTTAATGCATCATCTGCTGAGTCAGCACAAAATGAACCTCACTGCTCTGGAACGACTTTCTCTGAACCAGAAAACTGCCAAACTTTAGGCAATCAAAGAAAAAAAAAAGACTGATAAAAATATTTTTGCTGTTCCTGATATCTGACCAGAGGACAGGGCTGAAATTTAAAGAAAGTGCGTTTAATATAAAAATGAGAGGTGATTGCTGAATGACTGCTAACAATTGCTAACATTAAACTGAACTATAAAAACTAAAACGAGCTGAACAGAACAGAAGCTAAAATCATCACAACTGTATCTAAAAGTAGCAAAAATGGTAATTAAAAGCTAAAAGTAGCAAAAAAAAAACATGAGAGAAAGTTGATTTTAAAGAGTTATGGAGAATTTTATTTTAAATAAAATAAAATATTTAGAAAATTATCAAGTTTCAAAAACTTAAAGCTATAGCACACTATTCCTGACTGAGCCAAACACACATACAGTATTAATGGTCAAAACAGCATGAAAGTATGGTTTCAAAAACTGTATGAAAAAAATTAGGAGGTGAAAAATATGCTGACTCAGCATTCTTTTACAGATTCATCTTTTTATGGTTTTATTTTAACATACTTCATAAATGTCTGTTATATAAAAATTAAAGGAATAGTGTGGATTTGGTGAAGTGGGGTTCTGTGGAGATGTTATGAACAATTCATATCTTACCTGCTATAGATTGCACTCTGAATGGAGAAATAATTAAATTCTGACTGAACTGAATATCTAACACCTAATTTGAGTCGAACCAAGACCAGTGGGAGTTGCTGCCGTCTTAAAACAACTTTAATTTAAAAATATTTCCAAAGAAAGCATTTCATCCAGAAGCTAATTTATCTTTCATCATAAGCTAATTTAGCTTTAATTTCCTGATTATCATACAGAAGCACCAGGTTCCTCACTTGTTGGTCATTCACGATGAAAAATGTTCTCTGATTCAGACACTCCTAAAGAGAACAATCCATAAAAAGAAAAAATTCAGTGAGCTGCAGTTGGGTGGACAAGAACAGCTTTGTTAGGGGAGTGGAGAATGGGCAGACAGRTAAGAGATGACAGAAAAGCAACAGCAGCTCAAATAACCACTCGTTACACACATCCACCCTGAAACTCTACTTCAGTTTATTTAATGGTCTTCTGTTAACATTTCATTATTGTTTATGAAAAAGGAAAATAATGGAGAAATATGTGTTTGTCTCTTGCTTTATACTGTTTATTTCATTCAATAACTCCCTGKATAAGAGCTTTGTAGCAGTTTGTACTTTGACCCATTTGATCCTTTCAGATTGCTTGTTTTTAAGAGTGGTGTGTGTGTGGAGGAGAAATCCGTCATAGGTTGTGAGTTTTTACAGTTTTAATAGAAAGCGTTGATGTGCTTGTCACATGCAGGTCATACATGGAGACAAATTAGTCCCAGAAAAGTCAGAAATGTAAATCCCTTGATTTGTAAATGTGTGTATAATAAACCTCTCTCTGTGTTCAGGGCTTAAAGTCTGTTGTTTTTTTTATTCAAGCTTCTTTCTTGAATTGTACTGTTTATATTTTTGTAGTTTTTCTTCTCAGTTTGAATATTTTGTCTCTTTCAGGAGGGTTCTTGATACCATACCTCCTCATGCTGCTTCTGGAGGGTGTGCCCTTGTTCTACATGGAGCTCGCCATCGGTCAGAAGATGCGTTTAGGCAGCATTGGAGCATGGACTGCAATAAGCCCTTATTTAGGAGGACTTGGTAAGTTGTTCCTCAGTGATAGCACAGAATATACAATGATTAGAATACTTTTGTCTGGGTTAGGAGGAGCTAATGACAAACATGAGTTTTTGATATAATTCTTCAAACTGCTCTGTAGCTTTTTGTAGTGACTTTCTGAGTAGTTCACTGAATTTCAGTCCTTGAACTTGAACGTATCCATTATCTCTGGTCTTATTCAGAAATAAAAAAATGCGGTTGGCTGGGCGCTCTTGGCTGGGTCGTCCTTGCTGGGGAACGGTGGCCTCTCTGGGTGGCGGGCCGGCTATGGGGCTGGGGTTGAGATTTGGGGGTCAGGGTGGCTCTGGGGGGGGTGGAGTGTTGGTCCC